AGTCTTTCTTTCTTTAACATTCTTTTTCTGGCCATCTTAGTTCACCTACTTATCTCCTGATTAAATTATATTATGGTTTGGTGACATAAACTGAATGAGCTGACAAATTGATTTCAAGTCATATTTGGTTTCGGTTACTATAATTCTAACAAATGGTTAAAAAGTACACAGACACCACATTAATGGACAACGGATGGACAATCTTTTACTTGTCCATCTTTTGAGATCACTTTTGACCCTGAAAACAGGAAGGTTTTTTTCCAGATTACTCATCAGAAGCCAAAATGTACTCTGTTTGCCATAGGTTAAAGATTTTATGGCAAGTGAGGATTTAAAAATGTTTTCTTGAAGTTTCTGGACTGGTTTCTGAATTCCGATTCTTTGTTTTGAATTAAAGGTACAACAGCAGATTAGTTTATAAGTGAAATCTGACCATTCAGGGGGGGAGGAGATGTTGCTGCGTTTTACATTTGTCCCAAGGGGTTGGACCCGTCGCCCATGGCGGCAGCGGCAGCGTGGTGTGCCGCAGCCAACGAGAGGGGAGCCCCGTCCGATGTCACCGTGACCTTCTCCTCCTCGCGGCGCTTCAGACAGGCTGCCTTGGGGTTCAGGTTTCGCTCTGGACAGAGGGAGAGAGAGGGGAGAGACTGTTATTCATTCTGCAGTTTTCTGCCTGTCTTTTGTTTCTCTGTTTCAGTGAGGGAGTTCTTTGTGCTGAATCAATAAATAGGTAGTGAGACTGAGGCAATGAAGCCAAAAACTTCAGCCTGATTGAATACAATCAACAGGTGTCAGTGCTGCCCTCTTCTGGAACTCCCGAAGCACTACATGTGCTGGAAATCTAATTGAACCTTTTTAACCCTAAAATTCCACCTTAAATTTCCCCTTAAGTGGCTTAAAATAAAGAAACCATTTTTTATGTTTTAATACTATATTGACCCAGCTCTTCAGTAAAGCTGTATGCTGTTTTTAATGAGTAAAGCATTCAAACCCCAGACTCTATGCTTTATATGGCTGCACAGTTCAATCAAATGGAAATATATCTTTTTTTATATAATTTTAGACACGTTTGGACACAACAAAGCTTGGCTGCACAGCATGAGTTTGTAAAGACAAAGCCAAAATATTGGTCTGGATGGGGTATGTTACCTCATTTGTAAAGGCATCTTAACTTTGCCAAACTATACATTGTTTGAAAGCACAAATACTGTATATGATTCTATCTAATGGAAAAGGTTGCCATTATTCTATATTTTTCTAACTAACAACAAATCCCATGCAAAAAAACACCAAGAAATTTCCTATATTATAGAATGATTGACTGATATTTTCAGCGGTGGATTCATTGTACGTATGACTGAGTCAAAATAAACTACTGTACAGTGTGTGTGTCCATGGTAATGAAGAAGCATTTTACACAGTACAGCACTGTGGCTCACTCGTGTGTTTTTAATACAACATAGGCTATATCAGGCTTTGGATACACAGACAATAATTGTTAGAAGGATTGTCATAGGATTTTTCGATAATTAAGACAAAATTGTGAATATTACCAGCCTCATCCTTTAAGATCCCAATATCACTGCACCTATAGTTGCTTACTGCATACGAAACAGAACAGTACAATAAAGAAATATGTGCCTGTGTACATTGTCCCATCGAATCACTTATCGACTATACAGACTGTGTTTTTTTGTTAGTACAGTTCAAAGAGTTTCCTTTCAGAAAAGATCATGATAATGACTGTACTGAAATTTTAGGGATGGTCCACAAAAAGTGGGGTGCTTCCTCAAAGGAATAAATTAACAAATTCATTTAAATTATTCATTATTTTAATGTGTACAAACCAAGCAGCAACTTTTGTGGCTGGAAAATAAACCAATACGGAAGCAACAAAAACTGCACTTCCTTAGCAACCACTTGAGGCTTACTACAGAAGTAAGTCAATCTCCATAAAGCCCAATATTAAAATATTGAACTTTACAACATGTTTACAGCCTGGTACAAAAACAGCTTGGGTCTCTATAGCTAAATTCCCTGTATGGTATTGAATTTTAATAAAACTCACCGGTTAAGATGATATTAAGACTTGAAGTTATGAATTACAGGTGGCTGGTTTTAGTAACCAGGCTTCATTCAGCCCGTCTCAGCTCCACCTCTTTGCCCATTTTTTTTAGCTGCCAGGATGGCGATGGCCAGAACCAACCACACTGAGCATCACAATGGCTCTTCAGGGAAGTTTTTGTGATGTCCGTTTTTATTTCTACAGTTTATGGGACAAACTAGTATTTGACCACTAGCATGGTGAACTATCTAGGTTAATAATTTTATAGTTTATTTACTATTTCTATAATGATGTCAGTAAACAACAAGGTACAGTACTTTGATGATGTGATCATTACAGGGGAGTTTGTGTTTTCATATAAACAAACAAATAGATAAACAAATTAAGATAAAAGCAAGCCAGTCTGGTGCAGTATGTGTGGTTTATATTGTTAGTTACTGAGGTCAAAGGTCATGTATCTTTATATGAAACTGACCTCGGACTTGTTGCTCCAGACTGAGGATGACAGCCACGGCCTGGTGCAGGATCAGTAACTTGGTCTGAGGTTTGTCGCTCTTCAGGTGCAGCTGGACCATCCTGCCCAGCTCCTTGAAGGCCTCGTTGATGTCGCGGACGCGCAGACGCTCCCGCGCGTTGTTGGCCATTCTCCGTTCCCGCTCTCTCTCCATCTTCTGCTCCGGAGAAAGGTCCTCATCGTCGTTGTTGCTACGGTGACCAATGATGAGGATGAGCAGGATGCAAAGGAAGGGGAGGATTTGAGGATGAAAGCTCAGTTTATGTGTGTAGATCTCAATACAAATCAGCAGTGGATGCTGGTTATTGCTGACCTTTACAAGATGATTCATTAAGTGACAAAAGAACAAGGAACAGGGCTTGGGAACAGACATCGTGTTGTGCTGCATTCGGGGTATTTCAAGTCTGCCAAGTTTTCATGGTAATATTGTGAGTTCATTCACTAGAGATGAAGTGACTTGAAATAACTGAATTTTAATTTCTATCTTTTAGTGCAGAATTTACAAGAAGAATAGCTAGTTGAGCTCACTGTAAACTAGTGGGAAACTAGTTAAACTTACAATATGTATGTTTCTGCCACATCAAAACAATGTTTAAAAAATATGGTTGTCCATAAATGTGGACCTGTATATTCAAGTGAGTGACTTTTGTGAGTACTCCACTGATTTAGCACTGCACTCCTATTGTTGAATATTGTTTTTATTCCATGCATTCTTCTTTCTTGCCCAAGCCTGCTAGTAGCGGCTAATGTAGCTCTGAGCCTCTAGCCTCAAGCAGTGTTGACGGGCTACAGGGGTCTGGTAAGTTCAAGTGTTTCTAATTCCAGACCTCCAGATTTGTTTTATTTTCAAACTTGTAGTCTTCAGCCCAGACTCACGCGGACTAAACTGATCAGACAGCTCCCTGCCAACAGCTTTGCTGATTATACATTCCCAAACCCTGTAACATAGCATGGGCAACATATTTAATCTGTATCTTATCTTAATCATCAAAACAATTTGCATTATCATCATCATCATTATCAACATCATCATCATGGCCGCCACCATCATGTACAAATGTCTGGGTTTGGGATCCAAATATTTCTGATTTTAATCGTCCTCCTGGTGAAAAATCTCGTTGGAGGGGTGAAGGCTGCATCCAGGATGGGAAATCAACACAAACCAACACTTTCAAATTTTGCTGGCTTCCATGTTCATACAATGAGTGGGTTACACAGGTTTACTCTTTGGTTCTTTGAAACATGTTTGTGTTTTTAAAGGCTTGTAGATTCTTGCCAAGAGTAAGAATATTAATTTTCTATGTCTCTGTTGGTGTTGATTTCCCAGCCCTCAATGTGACCCGGCACTTCTTTGAGAATATTGACCGTGGGCTCTACTCTGTTGTGTGAGAAACAGTTAAAACCAGGCCCAAGACCATGGAGAGACTGACGGGATAAAGTGGGAGCTACATGTCCACTGGGAACCTCTCTTCGTCTTTATAGTGCTTGCTTGGCTCAAACAGGTCGACAGCAACCACAGGCAAAGAGAGATGCCTGGTGGATACGGACATTCCGTGTACAAGAAGTCTCTGTATTAACTGATGCATTTAGCTGCTTCTCATCACACTTGGTCACTTCATCAAAGTCCAGAGGCTGGTTCCCAAAACACCCACAGCTTAAAGTCCTTCCTTGTGTCCTTTCTCTCCAAAACAAGAGAAATCGACCTCAACTGAACTCAACTGAATTGAACTTTTGTGGTTGCTACCAGATGGTGGAAGAAGTATTAATATAACTGAATTAAGTTGAAGTATTGATGCCACAATGTACAAATACTTTAGAAGTAAAAGTAATTTTTACAGTATCCTGGTATACAATTCCTGCTCTATCCCATAAAAATGCTGAATGATCATGTGTTCATTGAGAATGAAATAAAATAAAATTAGGGCACTAATTTAGTTTGTACAAAATCCAAACCAATGTAACATCCTGAACAGTTTCTGTCTCTTGAAGAGGTTTTGTATTTGTACATTTCGGAACAAGGAAGGTCTCTGAGAGTGTAGGTGTTTTGCGAAAACGCATGTCCCAGCCCAGCTTAGATTTTTGATGAAAGCGAACGTCTGAGGTAGGCGGGGTTACCTAGATCTTGACCTATCAATAGCTTTGAGATCCTTGCTGTCAATGTCCTCCTTCTTGGAGTCCAGGGGCTTCGTGTCCTGCAGGAGGTTCTCGTCCCCCTCGTCCTCAGACTTGATCTCCGAGCTGACGGAGGAGGTACTCTGGCCCTGAAGGCCTCCAGAAAGGGCTACAGGAGGAGGGGGAGAAAGAAGAGGAGGGGTTAGAATGTGATAGATAAATACAATATATGGCCACAAGGAACTTATGGTTGATAATATGGTTGAAAGCCCAGTACGTGAAGCTTTGAGCTAAAGAGGCAGACATGCGACAGAAAGGTCGCTGGTTTGAAACCTAGAAAGGGCAGACCAGGTGTTGTTTCTTTTACGACTATGATTTTTATTTCCCTAATTTTAATAGTTAATACAATTAAATTTCAATTAAATTTTATTTGTTATAGCGCCAATTCATAACAGAAGTTATCTCCAGACACTTTTCCAAATAGAGCAGTGCTAGAGCCCCAACTCCTTTAACATTTAAAGAGACCCAACAGTACCACCATGACAAGCACTTGGCGACGGGGGCAGGAAAACTGCATTTAATACAGGCAAAACCTAGGACAAGACCCTTCGGCTCTAGGTGGGTGGTCATCTGCCTTGACCAGTTGGGGGGAAAGAGAGAGAGAGAGAGAGAGAGACAGAGACAGAGAGAGAGACAGAGAGATGTACATAATGTCAATAAGATGTCTGTCCATCTTGGAAGAGGGATCCCACCAGGTTGAGACTGTAAATGGAACATGTAAGTCATGAAACAAGCCTATTGCTAAATGTGAAGGTTGTTCTGACTAAATTCACACTTCTAGGTTCAATAAAAGGGTGCAGTAACAGAAACACAAAGAAAAATCTACCTTATTAGATTGCTGCGATGATATAAAAATATGTTGCATTCATGCCATATCTGTTATCATCTACGAGCATCCACATCCACGTTGGAAAAACAGTGTATATCAGCTTAAAGTTGGACATGTCTGACAACAGCATTTGACAACATTGGCAAAATAGCTGCAGAGCCTCCAACACTGTCAGCTACATCGAAATAAAATCTAATATCAACACTGTATCTGTGTCACTGTGTAAACCAATGCAAATGTGATAAAAAGAGCTAATGTAGCAATGGCCATCCCGTAACAATGACTGAACCCCTTAAGTCTGAATACGTAAGGGGTTCTTGTTCTTCCCATTCTGCCAACGTAGCGTGAATGCAGCATCAGGCGTGTCTGAACACAGCTAATCCTCCAGTTGACCCCCAAGATGGCGACACGAGAGAGTTGTGATGCAGACGTGAAGCCTCTGTACCCTCTATCAGCCTCTCTCCTCAGCCCAACAGTGCAGTCTTTATTTGACGTCTGTATAGATCCGTCACTGGGACTCTGCCAACTTCTCAGTCAACACAAAACACTGCGCTCTGTTCCCACACATTCACACACGACCAACTGTCGGCCATTTTGAATCTCCGTCTGCCTGACTGGAGGCATTTTGTTTGCAGCTTTGAGTGACGGCCTGTGTTTGGTTTGTGTGCTCGTGTCTCCATCCATACAATCGTGGCGCGCTTGTGCATAAATAGCTGCTTTTAAAAAGGCTTAAAACTGTGAAAAGTGACTTTGTGCTTATGAATGTCTGATTGAACCCAGACAGACACAAACTGACAGTGGAAGACAAAATGCGGAGGAAATAAAAAAGACTTATTGAGGGTAGCAAGTCTGAACCCCAGAGTCATAATGTCTGATCTAATCTAGTGTCTGGCAGAAGTTTTGTGTGATAAAGTATGCTCTTCCTCTTTGTTCGGTTTAATTTAACTTTCCAAAGCCCCAGTTTGCTTGACATGTGTTGGCACACATATTGCATCATTTCCTGTTAGTACCGAACATTAAAGTGCATTGATTTGTAGTTTTTTAACAAGGGCATTTTCAACGCTTTCTTAGTGTTAAGCTAGCAGTGTTTACACTATTATGCAGACGTTTAGGAGTACTTCACCAGCATTGCTGTATGTTTTAGAAATATTAGAAATACAGAGGTCCAAACTGAACTCCCTAAGGGGGTTTTGGGGCATCAAAACATAAAAGTAGTTATTTTTATGCAATTATTTCACAACTTTTATTGTATACCCCTCGGAAAAAATAGTGCGGTCCATACCTCCTGGACCTCAGTGGTGGGTACGGCCATGCTCACCAGACGTAGTGGTGCTCAATAAGAACTAAGGGTTATCATGAGGACAAAAATCAGAAGTGCCGGTACTCAGTACTGGTGAGTGCCGACCCATTTCAGGCACTGATTCCACACCTCATGATTTATACTCCACTGCCAACGTTTAGTGCTTTGTTCCATTTGGGTGAACCTGCCCTTTAAATTATAAAATGATGTCTTTAGCATATAAATTCACTGCTAAGTGTATGTAATAAAATAAAATAAAACCACCCAACCTGCTGTAGAGAGATAAAACATTTTTTAAAGAGCGAGAAAGAGAGTATAAAGTACACATAATATAAATATTAACATAAAATACTATCAATATAATATAAATCTTCTCTACATAATTATTCTGAAATTGAGAGAGAGGAGGAAACCAAAGCTTTGCTGCTGAAGTTGAAGTGTTTGCTGCCAAAAACATTTTAATACCCTTTATTTACAGCCTCTACACATACTACTCTGTGTGTGTGTGTGAGAGTGAGGAACAACTTCTTCTGCCCGAGTGTGTGTGTTTCTCTCTCTCTCACCTCATTACACACTTGGCTCCAGCTGCCGCTGGCTGAACTCTGCTGCCAGCAGACTCATTTTCAGCCTTTAAAAACGAGCTCTGGGCTAATTTGATCCACAGTGCGCCCATATACACTTTTCCTCCTCCATATTCATATCACACACTGTATGCGTTTACCCTCCTCGTTAGGCTTTTCGCCGCTCGGGCGTTGAAGTAGAAGCTCGCCAGATGAGATCCATGTGAGTGCCTGAACTGGACTCTTCCACAACTTTCTGACCCCCGTTCTGGGACAGTATCCTCGTCTTCATCTTGCTTTTTTATTTATTATGTATTTGTTTTTCCTCTTTACAGATTTGTTTCTTTTCTTTTTCCTGTGTACCCCGTTTCTTCTATGCTTTGTATCCTCTCCATTTTATCTCCTGCAACTCTTTCTCATCTTCTTCAATATTGCATTTCCTACTCATCTTCTTATGAATTTTCCATTTTGTTTTTTCTTCCTTTTCATCTTTTTCTTCCCATGTATTTTATGTGCACTCTTTTTTGTTTATCTCTTTTCTTTTTATCCTTCTTTTTTGTCATTCTTGTTATTATTAATCCCATTTGACTGTTTTGAGATCTACTTCCTCTGTCTCTTCATTTGACTCCATGTCATCCCTTTCTTCATCTTTATTGTCTTCTTTACCTTCCTCATCTGTTTCCTTTTTCTTTGTTTTCATTCCTCTTAATCTTCACCCAATTCTGTACTTTTCACTTTCACTTTTCTCTCCTGTTTGTGTTCCTCTTCATCTCCTCTTTTACTTCCTCTTCATTATTTATTTTATGTATTTATTTATTTATTTACTTACTATTATTATTACATGGTGTTGGAAATGTTAATTTGGTGTATTTGTGTGTGTGCACAAGTGCATGATGGGATACCAGTGGGATGCCTGTGTCTATATGGAAACACACACACACACACACACGCATGAACAAAAACAACAGATGCTGACACTGTTTGTCCATCACTGGCTCTTTGTGTGCTTGTTTCTCTGCTCACTGTTCACTTAACATAAAATCTGCTGCAGAGCAAAGACGGACACGTGAATGAAGGGACTATTTTCTTGTCATCTGTATACGTTTGAATAGAGCCACTGAAACACAGAGGAGTAATGTGAACCTAACTAGTAACTAATAGTCTGACTAATGTTGGGTTTTGGGGTCTTACCGCGGTACGGGTCGGGCTGGCTGAGGTCTGGCGATGTGGCCGACTGAACGGGCAACTGAGGCACCGGCACCTGACCCGCCATCGAGTGTCCGGCACGCAAACTGCCCACGCCGCCGCCATCTTCTCTGTGAGAGCCCACCTGGAAAACAGAGAGAAGAGAGAGAAAAGGATAGTGAACAAACAGCTTCTCTGATTCTGTCTGCAGTTACAAACACAACAGTGACTCACATTCTAACTTTGCCACATGTAGGTCCAAACTGATGGTTTCAGGCTGGTCTGACCTCCCCTGAGCTGACACGAAGTTGTGTGTAATTTCATCGTTGTAACGTTGTTTTCAATAGTAAAATGAGAGCTCATGAAAAATTCATTGAACCTATTAGAAATAGATTTTCTGTGCTGGTGTGCAAATAAAGGCTCAGGCTAAAGGGGACTCCAGAAAATGGTGGTGGAAATTTTCTGCTTTATAAACCCAAATAAGTTATATTTTACACTAAGTAGTGGCATGTTGTTTAATCATTAGGTCCCATAATTACTTCAATTATATAAATGTTTTAATATTTATGTATGTACCTTGCTTTTAAATGCCGTCCTGTTTTGTCTGTTTGCATTGTGATAATGCTTGATCAATAGGTTTGATTGTATTAGTTCAAATACGTTTTTATTTTTTCCATATCTTAAAGTTGCTCATTATACTTTATAGCTAAAATAGTCTAAAGTGACTGGAAGCATGTATAACTAATTAATTATATTAGTTTGAATGAAGAAAAGTGTCACTCTTCAACATTACGAAATCATTTAACACCAGATAGTCATAAAAATCAACACTGGTGAAGGAATGTAACACTGTGCTGTAATGCTCTATAAATATAAAATGACTAATAGTTCTTTGTTCTTTTTTCTTTTCTCTTTTTTCCCTTATTTCATTCTCCAGATGTTGTAGTTCTGCTGCAAGCCTGCTGAGGGCATCCTCTGCCTTTCTAAGACACTGAAGATCTCCATCTGTCTGTCTCTCTCTCTCTCACACACACACACACCATCCGGCCCGATGTTTTTTTTCTCCATTTTTCCAGTACAGTACAACTCTGGTAGGCAAACTGTGCTCCGCTCCCTCAAACTGCCTGCACTTGTGTGTTGATGTGTGTGTGTTCCAGTCCAGGTTCATATCTGCATGTCTGACATGTATATTTACAGTTTTTTTTTTTTAACTCAAGTGTGTTTTTTATGTGAGTATTGAGGGAAATACTGTAAGGGTGCATGGGTGTGTTTGTGTGTGTGCTTGGCTGAATCCTATCCATCTGTCTGCCACACACACACACACAAACACACACACACTTTCACACGCACACACGTACACACGACAGCACAGCAACTGACAATTATCTTAATGCCCATATGTTTAATTGTGGGATTTCTAATTCCCAGAGCACCGAGAAGCTTCCAGCAGGGACTCACTGTTTTGGCACGAGATGGGCTCTCTTTATATGTGTGTGTGTGTGTGCGTGTGTGTGTGTGATGCCAGCTTTCTTGTAGCATCCTGGGGTTCAGAATAGTCTTTCCCTCACCCTCCTTTTCCTGAGCGTTTTACTTTGAACATATCAGCAGGACAGTGGCTCTATATGAGTGATGACATATATTTAGCAGGGTTTACTGTAGGTGGCATATAAATATTGTCTGATAGTTTTGAGCTGTAGTGTGTTGAATGGCAGTGTAGACACAGAGGATCTTTAATAGTGAGATAATCAGACTGAAGTGCCATTTCACTTTTTTTTTAATAAGCAGGGAGTGAGAAATGCATTCAGCCATTGTCATTTTATTTTTAAGTGCTGGTGGTTGCAAGAAGCACTTAACTCAATGTTTGTCATCAAATAAATATATCAGTTTAAGACTAAAATTATGGAAGATCACCCATTTAATTAGAGCGTAATTTATCACACAGCTTCCTCTGGAGCCACAA